GCCTTCAATGCTTTACAAACGTTATACTCTCATTACACGCACTCTGGAGAAAACAAAAATACTACATTATCATATACCGAGTTCAAACATTTTCGGCCTTGAACGTGAGAGTACGGCATTCCCCCAACGCCGAGGACGAGGATGCAGAGAATCTCTTGTTTACGCTCGCACTCAGATAATAACAAGTACACGTTCCCGGGGAAGGTGGACGGTCTGGATGTAATGCAGTCAATTCCTGCGTTGACAACAGCAAATCGCAATAACCACACATGCTGCACCTAATTCATTGTCATTTCGAACGTCCGCCACCAAAACCAACGGAGCAAGCGAGCTTTGACGGCTGTCGGCGCAGAAAGCAGACGACGAACAGATCACGTGACGTATTTACTCGATTTGATCGGACTTTACCCCGCGATCGAGGAGGGTAGCGCGAGTAATTTATCCGGAGTAAACAACCCGCTTCTGGAACGCGAGTTCTGACGTCATTGAGTAAGCTCGAGTAAGTTTTGGAACGCCACGGTACGAAACTTTTACTCAGGAGTCGGATCGAGTAAATTTTGGAACACAGCCAATAATAACTCTATGACGTACACAAAAATGTCGACGAACGCCATTAGAATGTTTTGTTTTCAGAACTGTATAATTGGTACTATCAGCTAGTAGTGCCGGCTGCACTCGTAGTTTAGCGAAACGTGGCATAATTGTCCCAGGTAGCACAAAACATTATAATAACATTATTTTTTTGTTGTGTAAGTTGAAATAACGTTTTGTGTTAGGTGTAAATGTTACGGCAACGTTCAAATAAAACACTCAACGTTTTAGGTATGTTATCAATGTTGGTGTAACATTCAAATTAAACATATAACGATAATGTTGTGTACGACACATTATAACAACATTCAATACATAACTGTAAAGCAATGTTGTGAGCACTAACATTAATGTAACATTTAGTAACATTATGCTCCTAACATTATTCTGAAGTTTACAATGAAACATAGTAACAGTGAATGGAGAACCATGAAATAATGTTGCAAGAAGTAACACTGAAATAACATTTTAACATATATTTCCAATGTCATTTTGAAGCTTACAAGGAAACATAACATTCAATGCAAAATAGTAAATAAATGTTAAATAGTAATACTGAAATAATGTATTGGTTTGATCACATATCTGTTTTTCAAACTTCAAATAATTGTTGCAAATACTTATATTCAAGAAATTGTTTGACAATATTGTTTTTAACATTATTTTGAAGTTCACAATGAAACACAACATGCAGTAACAAGTTATTTATTGGTGTAACATTTTGAAAAGAGTAACATTTTTGCAAATGTTGTAAGAAAATGTAGTACACTATTTTAGTTTCCGATTTTATTGAAATGTAGCGTGAAGGTACAAAAAAATGGCAAGCGAAATGAAAATATATGCTATGATACTTTTTTGCATTTCTTGTCTTTTGCCCTATAAGGATGGAAGCATTTTGATTAAGCTTTTCTGTAGCAGCTGCTAACTCCAAACAATGGAAAATCTTGGATACCTATATGTAGAGCCCTGCATATCCGCGGATTACCTGTGGATATCTGCAGTAAACGGGCGGATGCGGATGAAAATTAAACAAATTTTGGCAGATTGCAGATTGGATGGCAGAGGCTGCGAATATCAGCGGATACGGATTTAAATTTTTGCCCAGCGGCATTCAGTTCGTCGACTGACGTCTCATCTACAAATCGTTTCGTCGAGATGAAACGTTTGATCGAAAGGCTTCTCCTGTTCGTTTCATCGAAAAACCTGAGATGTTTTGTTGCACACAACCTTGCTATTTTTGTAACAAACTTGTTGAGTCTCGCCTGGATTACAGGGGAGAGGGGGGCATGGTTTGGTTAAGCTCGCTAGCTTTTAGCAGCTTGGTGAAGAAATGCGTTGTCGACAAAACATTGCAGCGGCATGTGCCCACAAAACGTACAGCGTCGATGAACCGTTTGTCCATGAAAAGTTGTCCACCGATACATATTTCCACAAAAACGCGTTTCGAAGAAACAATAGGGATCCTAAGAAAGATCTGATTCTCACTGAAGATCGCTTCAGTTAGTGTGTTTCCTCTCGTCAAAAATGCTACCTTTAAAAAAAGTAAAGATTGCAGGGCATCAATTGTCCCAAGAAAGCTAGCACATTGGCAGGGAAAGAGCTGTAACTTTTTCTGGGCAAAGAAAACTTCAAACGTACAAGTCACAAGGAAGTAAAGAAACGTCCCCCTCTTCGCAAAGAGTAGTGTGGTCATGATTAAAAACAAAAAGTGCCTCGACAGCGAGTGCGACCCTGTGGCACCACGGTTTGTAAAGTTTCAGAGTCAACAGCGAACTTGCATAGGCAGACGGTAAAGTGCCTCTGTGTTTCTTTTTTGTATGCTTAGAGCCCTAGCCAAAACGCCTGGTAGTTCATGTTCGTCCAATTACGACGCCAGTGCGTCGTAGCCGGACTAATATGAACCTCTATTACTTTTTAATTGTTTAACAGAACTGTAATGTCATATTTAGTATGCCCTTTTTTAACTTTTATCCTTCAAAAGTATGCGTCCGCATAAAATAGGTGTTACAAAGCAAAAAAAAAAAAAAAACATATATAACCTTTTTGTGCGCTCCTTCTGGGCAGAGTGTCGCGGATTCCTAGGATGATCACATAACTGAGATGATTTTTCCTAATCGCTTTTAATATAAATCCGATGAAACTGATAATGATAAAATGACACTTCCTTTGAATGGCGAGCCAGATTTCTTTGGTACAAAGATAAGCAAACAGCTTAAAAAGTGTCATTTCTATTTTACAATGAATGCCTGGATTGTGAGTCGGATCTGGTTCCACATTTTGCGGATGCGGTTCGGATACGGATACAATAATGTAAAAAGTATGCGGATACAGTTTGGATACAAAGTATGCAGATGCAGATCGGATACGGATACAATAATGTAAAAAGTTTGCGGATACGGTTCGAATACAAAGTCTGCAGATAATTAAACTGTTATCCACGCAGGGCTCTACCTATATGTAAGATCTAAATGAAATGCAGCGTAAAGATACAAAAAAATGGCAAGGAAAATTAAAATATGTGCTATGCTACTTTTTTGAAAGAAAGACAGCCACAAATAGTATGTGCTTGTTTCACTTGTTTTATGTTTCACATTAATAGATTCACTTCCCTTTACCAGGAAGGCCTGAGGGAAGAGGAGGTGATTATATAGACTACGGAGCTTGTGGATAAGTGAAGTGATGATGTGTATCACGAAAGCGCTTTCATCCCTTCTTCATAAACAGTCAGTCTCTCCGCTTGCCAGCTTGATCCTGCTAACGTTTCCCTTGCCCTCTTGAAGTGACCTGCATCACCCTACGATTTACTCCAGAGGTGCCCGAAGGTGGTGGATTAATTACTGAAGTATAGAAACATGTGCCTCTTTAAATAAAAGATTTTTTTTCCTATGAAAATTTTTTTGTCATGCTTTGTTTTTCTAAATGATCAAAAATGAATCTGGGCATTTCTGGTGTTTATTACGACTAAATAAAGAGTGGGATGGGAAGGGAATGAAATTGGCAAACATAATACTTGTTTCATTTGGCCAGAATGAATGTCTGTCCCAAAATAATTAGTTTTTTTTCTTTTCCCTTATTTGAATTAGATAGAAGTATGATATATTTACTGCACTATGTAGGGAATGTACACATGTGTGCTGGTACTGTGGGGAGGCTGGCATCCATGCAACTATGTGTTTGAGGTTCCTTCGCCGTTCACATGTGAACTGAGACAGTACAATCAGGGCAACTCCTGCCCCTCTCGATGAGATCCTGTCTTTCCGGAAGATGCTAAACTTTTGGGTGTCAGCAATTTGTCCTTCGAATATTGTATCATCCAACCAGGTTTCTGAGACCCCAAAGATTGTGTTCGGCGAAGTTTCAAACAAGACAACGAGGTCCGAGTTTGTTCTTGATGGATAGAGCGTTTGTATACCGGATGCCGATGTGTCGCCGCTTCCTCGGTGCGGGAGGAGTACGTCGGTTACTAGCGTCACTCCGTTTTGTGTCCCGGGCGATGGGCCTGGCAGTTTCGTGGGGGGAAGGGGGGGGGGGGGGGGGGGGGGCACGACACCGGTGGATATGGGTGCGGGGTGCGAGTCATCGGAGGGAGGAAGCTGGCATGAGCCACAAAACCAGTGCCCGGCGAGGAGGCCAAGCATCGGTAGGCGAGTAGCGACAGCCCTTCACACTTCCCATGGAGCCACCAATCACACAGGTCACATTTTAGGGCGGCCACGTTGTTGTAAACCGCTTTCTCGCAGCTCGGGGAGGTTGGCGACGGCCTGGGATTTCGATAGATGTTCCCGGCAATCAGCATGAGTCATGCAATCGGCGCAGTCGTCCAGGCAGGCCTAACCGCGATGAAGCGGATGTCCGCACTTTCAGAAGTGAGAGAAGCCGCCGCGCGGAGTTGAGAAGCATTGTGCACCTCATCGGAGTGTTCCCGGAGCTCGACTCTCTGTAGAGAGGCGACCAGCAGAAGTTGCAACCATGTCCGCAAGCACGTCATCCCTGAAGACTATAATTTTGCTGAAAGGTTCCACCACCGTATTACACATATGTGCGAAATCCCGTCAAATATGCTGAGAAACTGTTTGATGCGGTCTCTCTAAAGAGCCAACGAAACGTTGTAAATCTCTTAGTACAAACACAAAACACGGCAGAGACGAAAAGGGTACCTTTGAACTTGAAGCAAGCCCATGGTCAACACACGCACTGCACCGCACAAAAAGACCATCCGTGTGCGCTACTTTTAGAGCGTTAACAAGCAAAGCAAGGCGTAAATGAGTAAGAATCGTTCCGTAGAACCCGTAGAACCAGATCACAACAGCCGCCATCACAACCCTAAATATACAAACACAGTGCTGCTAGACTTCTTTTCTTTGGTTTTGTGAGTTTGTCGCACTGATCTCTATGTATCAGTGGTTTGTCGGGTGTGTAAATAAGTAAAGTCTGATGAGTAAATTTATTAATACTATACACTACAGATATTTTCTTCTTGATGTGTTCTACTTTTAAGTCACAAAATAAAATATAATATAATTTATTAACTACAAAATGCATACACGGTTGGTTTAGCCTATTTTAGACCAATGGCTTAGGTTGGCAACATACGTTCCCGCCGGTTCAAGTGGTTCAAGTATGGTTTAAGTTTGGTTTAAGCGGTCTAAGTTTAAGTTTGTATCGCGGCTCGCACAATTGTGGCTCGCACGGTTCTGACCTGACAACCGTGGCTCTGAAACATCGTGAAGACAAGTTCTAGTAGTTACGGTTCGAAGTGCCTAACGGTCAGGCTGCGTAATCCCACTGTGGCACCGACGCACCTGCGTACCCTGCGTGAAACGTAAGTAGCGGTACCTCATTTCCTTTAGTGATGCTGCTCACTTGCTTAACCGACGGGATCTCGCATATTACGTTTGTGGGTATTCCTGTCTCGGGTACCCGAAATCGGGACGGCTCCTTTGGAGCCTTTGGATCCTTTGGAGGTCGATATCTGACCTCAACAATTCCGTCTAGGACCGGAATTCGGTGCCGGTCCTAGACGGAATTCAAGGCGGTGCGTTGTAAGTGGCAGAGCTTCGCTTTAGGGTGCCCATTATTACCTAAACCTCGCACATGCTCGTGAATGTGCGAGGCTGGTTAGGTAATAATAGACAAGAGTAATTATTTGAGGGCTCTACAGTGATTATTATTTTGAAGAGCGAAGCGCTGCCACTATGACCCGGACGAAATCCGGACAAAATTTTCTAGCGCAACCAATGACTATGATAAGTGGGCAACCATGTTCGCCGATTGCGCGCGATTTCGGTTACGCCAGACTGCGCGACTCGCGATGCATGATATCCCTTTGTGATTGAACGGTGCTAAGAGGAAACGATCTCCTGGTTCGTAAAATGAAGCGACAGAGGCGAGCATTTGATGACGTGTGCGACCGACAGAAGAAAAGAATTATTGCCGAAAACGTGCGCGACCATCTTGCGGACATTTTTTCTAAGTCTGCTCCGGACGAGAGCGATGGAAATTCTGCGGTTGACGGATCAGACGACAGCAGTGACGGAGCCAGGGAGGGTCTGAGCGCACCGCAAGTCGACGATCCCAGAGATCCTTGCGCGAGCACATCAGCTTCCGAAGAAACTGAAACTCATTTGCCAATCTCAAGTGCAGATGAGTTTACTTTGGCAAGCGAGCTGGCCACCTGGGCACGTGAGACCAAAGCCTGCGCATCCCATCTTAGCAAGCTTTTAAAGATATTGAAGAAGTATCACCCGGAGCTGCCTAGTGACGCAAGAAGCCTAATGGGGACACCAAGATCTTGCAATGTGAAAAACATGGGAGCGTCCGGCCTCTACCACTATTTCGGAATCGAATCGTCACTAAAACGAATGATGAGCTCAGGCAGCATCACTGGAGACACCATTTCGTTGCTCATCAATGTTGATGGCCTGCCTATAGCGAAAAGTTCCAGCAAGCAGTTCTGGCCCATTCTTGCATCTGTCGTCGAAAGCTGCGATCCTGAACCTTTCGTCATAGCTCTGTTTGTTGGAGACAAGAAGCCGGAGAACTTGGATGACTACCTTACCGATTTCATTTCGGAGTTAAGCACATTGCTGGAAGAACACGTGACCGAGGGCGGAAAGGAGTGCGTAGTTCGAGTGCATGCGTTCATTTGCGATGCGCCCGCAAGGGCATTTCTGAAGTGCATCAAGGGCCATGGGGGATACTTCAGTTGTGAAAAGTGCACCCAAGAAGGCACCTTCTCTGAAAGCTGCCGGAAAGTAATTCTTCCAGAAGTCAGCAGCCCCCTACGAACAGACGAGTCGTTTCGAAAGCAGGATCAGGAAGGGCACCATCATCGACAGTCCCCATTGGTCGAGCTACAGATTGGCATGGTAAGCCAATTTCCCCTCGACTATATGCATTTAGTCTGCCTAGGCGTTATGCGGAGGCTTCTACTTCACTATTGGGTGCGGGGACGACCTCATCGATCAAAGCTCCCACCACGTGCACAGACTAGCATCTCAACAATGCTCATGAAACTCCAGAGACACACCCCTCGGGAGATGGCTCGGAAGCCCCGGAGTCTTCATGAATTAGAGAGATGGAAGGCCACTGAGCTACGAAACTTCCTCTTGTACTTCGGTCCTGCGGTTCTAAAAGACCACATGGAGAAGCGCTACTACCAGCACTTTCTCAAACTGAGCATTGCAGTGTCAATCCTGTCAAGCCCACGACTCTGCCATGAGGAGATTGATTCTGCAGAGAAGCTGCTTGAAGAGTTTGTTTCTGATGCTGGGGACCTGTACGGTGAAGGCATTTACGTGTACAACATACATTCTCTGCTGCATCTTACTGCTGATGTGCGGAGGTTCGGTCACCTTGACTCCTTCTCTGCGTTCCGGTTTGAGAACTTTCTGGGTCAACTGAAGCGAGATTTGAAGTCACCAAATCGACCATTACAACAGATTGTAAAACGCTTAGAAGAGCGCAGTCATGCTGACTTGCATCCTAGAATACCACCGAAGCAGCAGGCATTGTTGCAAAAGCCGCATAATGCCGGACCAGCACCTCCAGGATTTAAGGGAGAGCAGTATCACAAGCTAGTTCTTCAAGGCATGGTTCTGGAAGTGAACCTACCAGACTCATGTTTTCTGATGGAAGATGGAAATGTAGTCGTCGCAACAAATGTTGTGTCCCGTGATGGAGAGATCAAGATCTGTGGCCAGTTTTTCAAGAGATTAACAAACTTCTATGCCGGCATTGTTGACACAACTGGACTGTGTACTTTCAGGGCTTCTCAGGTTTCGTCTGCAAATGCTTTGTGGACTGTTGAACAGGTCAAATCAAAGTGCTGCTGGCTTCCTTGTGGGGGTGAATTTTTGGTTAAGCCACTCTTGCACACAGGATAGCTCAGATAAGCAATATCTGCCGTAAATGTGCTCTCACTTATAGTGTTGTTTTAATGAGTATATAATCATCACGAATAAAAATAAAGTGTGTGTGCTAATGTCTTTGGCATAAATTATGTCTTTATGCTAATAACTGCTAGGGGATTTTTAAGGACATTTCTTCTGATTATAAGGCATCTGTAGGTTGAAAATTGAGGGATTAGAAAAAAGCTGCTATAAATAGAACTGTTTATATGATGGAAAGACCAAAATAGAAAAGCTGTAAGGTGAATGTCTAATAAAAGGTTAGTTTTCTTTTGCTCATGATGTGTGCTCACTACTTTAGCTCTTTAAATGAATGATAATGTGATTATCCTTTGACTTGGTGATTACACGTAACTATTGTCCCAACTGATAGATATCCCAGCTAAGATGCCGCAAGTATAAAAAGACTGAACACTCTACGCCAGAGGTACACAACCTTTTCGGGACTGCGAACCCCCAAAGCTTCTGAGTGCCCTCCGGCGACCCCCGCCTTAACTATTTTTGGAGCTCTCCGAGGCTCTGTAGCCGCCAGACATTTCCCCACAACCTCCAGTCTGTGCACCTCTGCTCTACACAAGTGAAAACCACTATGTTGTTAGCAGGTGTCTTGCGAAACGCAAGAAAGACTTGGCAAACTTTTAAATATCAATTTTAAGACCAGCAGGATCAAGGTGTCAACTGGCAGGCTTTAGAAGTCTTGAGAAACAGCCAACTGGGGTGTTTTGAACACAATACACTTTGTTTGCTTCCTTTTCTAGCAAAGAAAGAAAGCCCATGAAATATAGGGTGGTTCAAGCCACCAGGCTCGATCTGAAATGGACCGTAAAAATCAATGCCTGCACGTAACAATCTAAACTTTTCGTCAGCGGTGTATTTCACAGGTCGGTTTTTTCTTGTAAAATTATAAAGCGTAGTTCTCGTTCTGTAAAAAATAAGGCCAAGAAACTTGCCAGGGTCTACGGCGGGCAGCGACGTAAACGAGAGGGGTTCATTAGCGGGATGTGTTTGGCATTCGTATCGATAGATGGCGTCGGGAGCAGCCTCCGAAGTTGCAGCCGACCAGTGAAAGAAAGCAGACGACACGCAGACGAAATCCGTTGACAGCAAAAGCGCCACCGTTATACAGACACGTTTTTTTTACTCTAAGTTTTGCTTTTATTGTCCGCATTTATTTTTTAACCGAAGGTACATTTCAAAAAGATTATGCCCATTTTAACAAACCACGGTGGTCACGAGCCGTTGCGATAAGGAGGGAGCGCCATCTATCAATACAAATGCCAAACACATCATGAGTTTTCTTTTGTTTTAGTTTTAGTAATTTTCACCTTCATAAACCATGTACACAGCATTCATATTTTATTTGGTTTCATCAATATTCGATTCATGTTTGATTTGGTTACATCACTATTTGCACACCCCTAATCTTGTTACTTCATAAAACTTGTAGGTATGCTCTTTACTGACGGTCTCAAATTGAATTTTCTAGATGTTCTCGGTCGCCCATTTTATGAAGACTGATGACGTGGCCGTGGTTCCAACACGCTGGATTAAGAACGGGACAGCTCCCTGGCCACCGTTTAAAAATACTGCAAAAGTGAACAGTGCAGTGAGGGACAGAACGGAGCCAGGCAAAGACTGGCCAAAATTTGCCTGCAGGGTCATGTCATATACAGGTAAGCTCCGCCCTGAACGCCATTAGTTTTTTTTTTTCATTCTGAAGAGAGCACTGCTCTATTGAAAGTTATTACAATCCACACTTTCGCAGAATCTACAAAAGAGAAGGGGGTTTGGTTGTGAAATAATTCTTAAAGTACATATCATATCTGACTCCCTTTTTTTAGTTACTATGGTAACGGTACTATAGACCTCCCACTGCCTATGTTAATAGGACACATTGGTAACAGCTTGATAGCTACAAAAAGGCAGCATATGCTTCATTAGCAGAAGCTACGTACAGCTTAGACAAAACTCAGCAAAATATAATGCCTCACATTCAACGCACATTTTTTATTAATTCATTATCTACATAACATCTGACTTGCAGACAGTTACGAAGTTGCCCGCAAGAGGTCCATAAAGGCGGAGGAAGAGTCCGACCTTACATCGGAAGCAGAGACATCGCAAAAAAGAATACGGCGACCTCCGACATTTTTCGATGACTACCTCACTGACAGCAGCGATGAGGAGGGAGTAACTGAAGAACCACCTCCAGAAGGTGACATTGAATTTCTCGCTGAGCCCCCACCGCCACCACCTCTTCAAAGAAAAAGTGGAGCACATTGTGGAGGAGCAGGCCAAACTGATGGTGGCAAGTCCTTTTTTCTTACACGTGTTTTGAAGGAAATGGTTTACATGAACAAATACTAGTGATAAAGTGAAATGCACAAGGTAATCAAAACAAAACTACAGATCATGTATTTCACACTTCGAATGTTTGTAATCTAGAGTTGAGAAAAGGCCTTCCTAGACCCACGTGCAGGCTGTTATGTACACAGTGCGACACTTTTAGCATGAACATGACATCGGCGCTTTTTTGTGCTTTGCTCAAGCTGTGAAACCCTTATGGGCCCTTTTCACCGCATTAGTAATTTTGGTGATATCACCTGATTTGTGTAAGTAAAGCGAGTAAACCCGACGATGTTGTGTTTGTGCTAACAGCGTCGCATAGTGTACAGTATGGGCATGGTATAGATCAGGGGTGGGCAAACCGCGGCTCGCGAGCCGCATGCGGCTCTTTGCTGGTCCAAGTGCGGCTCGCGGATCCCTCGTAAGAGGACTCCCCCCCCCCCTTCGCCCCTTTCCGCGTTTCCCCAAGAAAAAAAAGAAGAAAGGATTCCAGAATAAAGCACACTGCAGCTTGCAGTTTGACAGCCTTGTACTCCCATCCAAGGAAATACGCAACTGTGACATAGCAGTTCAACTGCTCATCCTTGTTATTACTTATGCATTGCTTGTGGTTTTTCAGATGACTTGGTGTTGCCCAAAGGAAGACCAAAAAGTGCATCTTCTTTGAACTGCTCTGCTGAACCTTCAAGCAAAGGCAAGTATATTTTGTGACTGACAGAAGAGTTAGGATGTATGTGCACTTTTGACACATGAACCTGTAAAAAGTAACTTCACTTAGTTACAAGTTTCTGGAAAATGTACCTAAAATACAGCAGGGGTGGAATAGCTGTACCATTTGCGCCAGACGCATATGTCTGCGCCATCCTGAAACATGTTGTGGAAACTGCGCCACAGCCAATACCTCGTGCCATTATGCACCAAAAGAATTGTATTTTGTCTTGGTTCCGGTTTTTATCGACCCGATTCGCAACAATGAGCGCATTTAGCTTGGTCGGCCTTGCACTCCTTTGCTCTGTTTATTCTCCCTGTGTATCTCGAGTCAGAAGCGCACGAAAAAAATTGGGGGTCAGACTCCAAGCGCTACACCACCTGCTTCTGGATTGTTATCCTTCAACCATAAGCGGTTAAAGGGCAACTCCGCTCAATTCCGAAGATTTCGGGATAATGAGTGATTTCGAATTAAAAAGCCCTAGTAAAACACACTACGTTGTTTGCTTTGCGAAAAGTGGGCTATATATTTTTAAATCTAATTTTAAACACGAGCTGAAATCGAAACCGAAACTTCGGCTCTGCCCGGCAACATTGGCCTCGGGCCGCCAAGTACATGGCCATCACGTGGTACGAGATGTCACGTGATCCTCGGCCCAACGACGGGCGGGATTGGGGCGGGCGTGTGGCAGGCGCGAGTGTCGTCTGCACCGCACTCTTCGCCACGTTTTGGTGTCTACGGCATTCGACGACGTCTGCACAACTGCGGCATAAGTCTGCGCACATGGTGTCCGTGGTGTGGATGAAACTCCGAGAGACAATAATCACAATCGGTGAGACGACGACGGCGGTTGTGACGCGGAAGACGGCGGTAACGGCGGGCGGCCGGACGGCTCCCAAGAAACGCGCTGCGCGGGCGCGTTACACCAATCATGTGGACACCGCTGAGCGCCGAGAGGCAACGTTGCTGACGTCATGCGCTACGCTCGCGCGGAGAAGTGAAAACAAGCAAAAGGGGGCCATGATAATGACGTTTAGCTCAATGTTGGCTCCGCCCATGCCATAGCCTTGACTGCGCTGTTGGTTGCGCCTGATCGCCCGCTCAAGTCAGCCGATTTCGACAACTTGGCGAGTTGCGAAGTTTGCCGGACCGTTTAAGAAACATTTAGACAGAACTGCGTCGTAACATTTCACTCGTGGTCTTCCTAGGCGATACTGAAGAGGACTGCATTGTTTTTTCAAAACCAAAAATGAAGCGGAGTTGCCCTTTAAGCACGTCAGCAGAAGTGAGGTCGAGTCGTTAAGAGTCAGATTGCCTGAGGCTCTGCGGCCCGGGATCCAGACTTCAGCCAGTTGAAGACAGGAGCAAAAGATTCCTGTTAGTACTTCATCGTTAAAAGTTGGAACCGCATTCCCACAAGATAAATCGTGATTTGATAGAACTGAAATGCGGTCCAATCCGAAACCTTGCCGGCCAGCAGCTCTCATGCAAGCGGTAGATCTGCTTGGCATACTTTAACCTTGCTCCTGCTTATCGCCTCGAATATGATAACTACGCTTAATCATAGTCTGCTGCTTCGTTATTGAGTTACACAATAGGATAAATTCGAAATTTATTGCCCTGTTCCTTCGCGCAACTGCACGTTCGTTGCTTGCGCACGTCACGTGATTCGCGCATGTAATTACTAAGACATAAACTGAAGTGCAGTGAAAACTTATCTGAGCTGCTCCTAGCCTGCTCCAGAATGTAGGTTCAGCTGCTCCCGTGGCTCCTCCCAAGTACATTTCATGAGTTCCAACCCTGTACAGATACAGATACCGAAAAATGAAAGTGCCTAGGTTTTTATGTCAGGTACAACAAAGGTACCTAGATACCGATTTCGAGTTACTTGTACCTAGGTGCTTTACAACCCTGGCTGAGGCATGTCCTGTTTAAAAAAAAAAAAACTTTAGCCTTGTTGCTTTGCAGCATTGATGCATGCTGCACGTTGTAAGAATGGATAATTTGTTTGTGTAATTAAGCTAAGTGCTTCGGTAACGTGAGCAACAAGAGAAAAGTTTCTGTATCTTTAATGCTCTTACAGCTTTAAGCGATTAAAGTATTAACTCCTTGTCACCTTGAAAATGAATAAAGGCTTGTTTTTTTATCATCTTTATCGGAACACTCAATATTGATAAGGTTCTAACGTATTGCTCTTTTTTTTTTTTTTTTTTAGCTTTGGTCACAGTTCTTAGGGAACTTGAGTGTATTAAGGCACAGTTGACAAGCATGGCTACAATGTTGGCCAGAATACAGATGCATGTGAATGCTGATGACCCTACTGCCATGGCTGGTCCAGTCCATCCAGAAGACCTTCCAGTCTATCCAGTGAAGACAAGAGAGGAATTTGCCTTCCTGGAGGCTAGCTTAAAAAATGAAGCCATTTTTGCAAAGCTAGTAAGTTTCAAGTTGTTGTGCGTTACAGCCAAAGGTTATTATCCAGAACATACATGTACTGAAATAGTCATTGTTTTTCATCTTTCTTCTGTTCTTTGAGCAAGAGAAGCTTTTATGTGTGGCTTATTGTGGATAACTTTTGATTTCTAGGTGAAAGAGCTTGGCCAAATTGGAGGTAGAGATGTAGCCTCTACAACAAAAACGGTGTTTAAGAAACTTGTCGGAGATGAAGTTGCCGTCTTCTACAACAGAACCGGGCGAAACGGAAAGCAAGAAGCCGGGAAACTGAAGATCTTTAGCCTGATCTATGGTAAGAGTAATGTTTTTGTATCACTGTCTACACTATGGAGAGTAATGTGCTTGCATGCACCCGTCTTTTTTTTTTTTTTATTATTAAGTATTACTTTACAGTGATCGTTATAAAACTTCTGATAGCTGTGCATATTTTTTTCAGCTGCTGTACGTGTAACCCGCAAAACTGCAACAGACGACGAGATGGGCCGCGCCATTGGTGATTGGCTGCGCTTCGCCAACGTCCGGCTCCGTGCTCAAGGCAAGCAACAACCTAATCTTTGCAGGAAGGATACAAATACATTGAAGCTGATGATTAATCTAAAAATCTCCTGAGGCTTACAAAATGAAGAATGTAAACCATGCATGAGATCTGTAACACAGCGAAGAGTTCTATTGTACTATCGCTATACATTGAAATACAAAGAAGAGAGCTTGTGGCTTTCTACAAATGCTGCACAAACTGGCCACGAGCCAGCGAAGCTTGCACATGTGTAGTTCGACCAAGGACACTAGATTAATCTCCAACTCTTGAATGCCTTGACTGGTGCCTGGTGTGTAAGCAGTGTACTGAAAGTTATGCGCTTTGTGTTCATATTGCAATGTATTGCAATAGTACATGCTCACTTGTATCATTGCCCCTCCCAATCAAATGCACCAGCAGAAGCAGTGAGCACAACTACAAAATAACGAAGGAAGCTTTGTTTACAATAATTTCTTATTGGAAAAAAGTAAAAATTGGTTTTCTAACATACAGAATGTAGCAGCCGAATAAGAAAGTTCTGCACTCAGCTTGATTTTCTTTGTCTTGCTTTCCTAGAAAATAGGGCAGTAAAAGTATTTCTGACAGCCGTTTGTGGGACTGATTGTGTGTTGCTATTGGGTGAGGCCAGCTGAACATACAAGATGACAACACAGAGAAAATTAGACAAACACGATGCTGGACTAAACTGTTTAATGGAGTGCATTTTTATTCATTTACACAGGAGCAGGTTGGCCCCAGACGGGGCCAACTGGTTCTTTTGTAAATAAAGTATGTGGATGAAGTTAGTCCGGCATTGTGTTTGTCTCATTTTCTCTCTTCCTGTTTTTGTGCTGTAGGTTCATTTGGCCCCATCGACAAGCGCTGCACCAACAAGCTCAGCTCCGGGTCGTCACAAGGTGTATTTTGTCGCGTGTTTCAATGTTGGTTTGCTTGAGCAGGAGGACTGACAACTACTAGGTACAAGTGACTCAACAACAAATTAAAGGATTTGATAGCATGTTGGTGGGAGTTAAGAAACAAACAAAAGAGAGACACTTATGACAAGAGATGCCACGGGTGTACAGTTCAACTAGCAACATCAATAAACTACCACAAGGCATTATTTTATTTTTGCTAGTTGAGAGATGTACCTGTGTTGTCTCTTGTCATAAGTGTTTGCTACTTTGTTTGTTTTTTGCAATCAATTCACTGTTTTAAGCACTTGAACAAGATTGTCATTTTCTTTTAGTTCGTAGTTATGTGGGAAATCAGGTCAGCCTTTTTGCGGCTCTATATGAACTCTCTTTCCCACTAGGATATTTCTAGTACACCCTAATTTCTTGAGGGGTTTCCAAACCTGCAAACCATTGTCACAAAGCTAAATTTCGAATTAAGCTACACTGTTATGTTTTCCACGTATTATGATCATTTGCCACCTCAAATTTAGTTTCCGGCACTCTGTATTAATTATTTTCTTGTTTTGTTTGCAGCCAGAAAGTCGAAAACATCCCATCGACAGAAACTGTGGTTTGACTTGGGAAGATGAAAATCAGTTTGTTTCAATTTTTTTTTTTTCTGTCTAGTCCTGTTCTAGACTTTCTTCAGCCTATTTCATATTCTATTGTCATATTTTACTTTTTAAAGTGGCAATAAGGCTATTTAATGTCTCTACTTCTGTTCTAGTCTAGTGACAGGCTTTACTGTGGTTTGACTTGGGAAGATGAAAGTCTGTTTGTTTTAATTTTTTTTTTCTGTCTAGTCCTGTTCTAGAGTTTCTTCAGCCTATTTCATATTCTATTGTCATATTTTACTTTTTAAAGCGGCAATAGGCCTATTTAATGTCTCGACTTCTGTTCTAGTCTAGTGACAGGCTTTAGTCAGTCCTTTCCGGCTTTTCTTTAATACGATACCGTTTTAGTAATCAAGTTTTTCTAACTGCTTCTACACATGGCAATTGTATATAGTGCCAGCTGGACATAAAAGGATTAGAGAGAGATAAGAAAGACACACCGTTGGACTAGCAACTGTTTAATCAGATCATCTTTTTCTTCATCTACGTTGAGTTTCTCTTCTTTTTTATCTACACTGCATTTGATTTAATTGAGGAGTTCCTTTTCTTCTAGTCTTATACTCGAGCGTCTCCTCGTCTTCCATTTGTCCACCATGGGTGCGGCCCCTCTAAGATACTCACCTTCCTTGTGGTGTAGTGCGATGGAAGGTATACCCACACACTTGTCCGCTTTTGCGTCAATAGCAAAGGCCTCCAGGATTTCTCGAGTGAACTTGTGGCGGTTTCTTGCCAGGATGTTTAGGCTAGAAAAGTCTGGTACACACAGGCACATATGACAATGGGCAGGTAGGTGCTCTGCACGCTGTGGTGGCCTTCACCGAAGCTGCATGTTCTCTCGTCTAGTCACTGATGCACCTTCCCTTCTGTCCAATGTAACATTGACTACATGACATGGGATTTGGTGCACAACCTCCTTCTCACATTTGGTGTACTTGGCAGTTCATTTTCTCCTTGTTGGCCCTCTTGTTTACATGATGAAAAATTGCACACAAAGAGACAAGGGAAAAACACAGAAGTCAGAGAGGCGCATACTCGCAACTCTGGTATATTAAGTGAAGAAAGAAAAGATGAAGCACGATTCATGACGGGGGACATCAACACCAGGGGGTAAACAGTTCAGTCATAGTGAGGTGTTCGCAAAAAGGCAACTTCTTTTTCGCTCAAAGCAACCGACGGCTGACTAACGCAGAGATCGGTCAGACTCAAGATGGTGAACGCATCGAGCACCTCGCGCGTTTGTTTATCATTAAAGTGCCCAATGATTGAGATTTTTTTCTAAAGATGGTGTGCAGATAGAGGTCTTACAATGCACCAAAAGGTTGACCTCATACAGTTTATGATCGTGCTCTCGCAGCCAGTCATTCAAACACTTTCTAGTCTGTCCGACATAGCATCTTCCACAGGGAAGAGGAATGCTGTACACTACGCTCAATGAACGAGGAGTGAAAGGCTGCACATGTTTTTTGTGGCGCGTGTCTTTTTCGCTTTGGCGCAAACCTTAGAACAAATTTGTCACATCTTTTTAGAGGCTGATAATACTACGGGCACACCATACCTACTTACCACTTGTTTTAGATTATGCGATATCTTGTGTAGATACAATCTAAAACAAGTGGCAAGTAGGTGTGCTGTGCCCACAGTAATATCAGCCCCTAAAAAAATATGACAAATTTGTTTAAGGTCTGCGCCAAAGAGAACAAATTATAAAAAACACGTGCCACAAAAAACATGTGCAGCCTTTTTTTTCCTGTTCATCGAGCGTTGTATACAGCATTCCTCTTTCCTGTGGAAGATGCTATGTCGGACAGACTAGACAGTGTTCGAATGACTGGCTGCGAGAGCACAATCATAAACTGTATGAGGTCAACCTTTTGGTGCATTGTAAGACCTCTATCTGCACACCATCTTTAGAAAAAACCTCAATCATTGGGCGCTTTAATGAAAAACAAACGCGCGAGGTGCTCAGGGCGTTCACCATCTTGAGTCTGGCCGATCGCTGCGTTAGTCAGCCGTCGGTTGCATGAGCGAAAGAGAACTTGCCTTTTTGCGAATATTCCTCTGCGACTGAACTCGACCCCCTGGTGTCGATGTCCCCTGTCATGAATCGTGCTGTCTGTCTTCTGTGTTCCTTCCTCGTCTCTTTGTGTGCAACTTTCCATCATGTAAACAAAGGGACCAACAAGGAGAAGACAAACTGCAAGGTATCTCACGAGACCAAGCACACCGAATGTGAGAAGGAGGTTGTGTACCAAATCCCACTGTCATGTGGTCAATGTTACATTGGACAGACGGGAAGGTGCATCGGTGACCAGACTAGGGAACATGCAGCTTCGGTGAAGGCCACCACTGCAGCAGGGGACCTACCCGCCCATTGTCACATGTGCCGGTGTGTACCAGAGTTTTCTAGCCTAACCATCCTAGCAAGAAACCGCCACAAGTTCACTCGAGAAATCCTGGAGGCCCTTGCTATTGACGCAAAGGCAGACGAGTGTGTGTGTGTGCCTTCCATCGCACTACACAACAAGGAAGTTGAGTACCTTAGAGGGCCGCACTTATGGCGGACAGATGGAAGATGAGAAGATGCTTGGGTATAAGATTAGAAGAAGAACTCCTCAATTAAATCAAATGCAATGTAGATAAGAAAAAAAGAGGAAGTGAAACTCAATGTAGATGAAGAGAAAGATGATCTGATGAAACAGTTCCTAGTCCAGCGGTGTATGCCTTTCTTATCTCTCTCTCTAACCCTTCTTTTATGTTCAGCTGGCACTATATAGAGCAATGAGCCAACTAGCTCAGCTTCAAGCTTCACCCGCTCTAGTCACCACTTCTACTCAGTTTCAAGCTTGTTTCTGTAGTACATACAGATTTGTCTTAAGTTATTGGCTTGTCATTTTAACAGCTGAGTCTAGCAGCATCCTTACTCGTATGTATATGCTTTTGGTTTAATTTGAAACAATAAATGTTTTAGTACATGTACCTGACTGATTTCATCTTTGCAAGGGTAGTAAATTGCAATTATTTCGTCTCAATATGTGCTGTGATGAAAAGGAGCTTGTTAATTCTAGCGTTTTTGTTAATAGTGTGCAATATTGTGCCTTTCACAAACATTCTTTTCCTCAGTTAACGGACATGCTACGATCAAGCTTCTTCAAAAGGTGCATACAGTCAATTCTCTCCCGTTATGTGTATTGCGCACTGGAGTCCGGTGGTTCATCTTCTGGAAAACATTGCTATGTATGTGAAAAAGGACCTCCTCGAAGACCCAGGACGCAATATTTTGTTGCAAGTCTTAGCTTTTTCAGCCCTCAGAAAAGCCATGTCTGTAGTGAAACACTGCCTGTCGTTGGGTTTCAAGGAGGTTCCTTTCCAACACCCTTCTTTCAGCTTTGACTACCTGCAGTTTTGTTGGTATGCAAGTTTATAAAACATTAGATTCACATCAAAGAAAATGGTACTGCTACACTAGCAGAATATCCACAAAATGTTAGAAAGAACTTTTCAGTTGAAGACAAAAGTATTGTAATCAGACGCAGTTGCTACCCATGCAGTTCGCCTTGTTCACAGCAGAGGCGTAACTGCATGGGTAGCGGTTGCGTCTGATTTATAATATTTTTGTCTTCGTCAACTGAAAAGATCTTTCTAACATTTTGTGGATATTCTGCTAGTGTAGCAGTACCATTTTCTTTGATGTGAATTTAATGTTTTACAAACGTTGCATACCGGTTGTAAAAGTGTTTCTCGAATGTTCCTTCAATGTTAATTTAACGTTTTGCAAACATTAAATTTATGTTGAAGGAATGTTTCCTGTGTGTTCAAATAACGTATGGAAAAACATTAATCTAACGAACAGATAAACATTGTGGAAATATTAAATAAAATGACATTAAGGACATATTTCAAACATTTGGGCCAAACAAAAAAATAACATTATTATAATGTTTTGGTGCTACCTGGGGTGAGACGAAAATAGTCACATCTTGCGAAGGTATTTTTTTTTTTTAGAACTAACGCAATGGCGCTGCAAACATACGCAGGTAAATGAGGATTCAAAAACATTATTATGCACACACTTTTTATTTGTGATAACGTGTAATAAAGAAACCTTTTTTTTCTCGATAATATGTCAAATATTACAGATATATTATTTGATATATATATATGTATATATTATACTTGTACATTATTTATATAGTATACTTTCGCTTCTCCTCGACTCAGCTAATGGCATGCACATGGGCGTACCGACCGGGGGGGCAAGGGGGGCACTTGTCCCCCCCCCCCCCAGTTCTCAGAGTGTGTGTGTGTGTGGGGGGGGGGGGCAAGGCATGTGTTTTGCCCCCCCCCCCCCCCTTCCCCCCTGAAACAGCCGCCACTGGGCAGGACGAACACTGTCCGGCGGCGCCCAAGGGATACATCGCAAGCAACGGTGCTTGCGATGTTGAGAAGACCGCGTCGTCCCCCCTTGTATATATCATCGCATAATCATCATCACTAGACGTGGCACCGCGGGCCTCCGTGGTACGGGCTGTCGCCTTTCCGCGGTGCCACGGCTCTCCTGAGCCAATAAAGATTACGATTACGATTACGATTACCAAGGGCGCCGCCTCTTGGACCAGCGGAGGGGGGGGGGGGGGTCGGGTTTACCCTCCACTCAAAAACAAGTTGGTACTCCACTGCGCATGCAGTCTGTTTTAAATTGAATATATAAACTTTAAAATGGTTAACGTTTTATAACTTAAGTAATCAGTAAAACATCTTATTTTCCCTGTGTCGAATTTGCATCAAGTACCAGCAATTAACTAACCTCCGAAGAGTAAGAAAACTATGCCGCAAAATTTATCTGGGACTATTTTGTCTGGGTTTCCACTTGGGGCCTGTCCGGAGTCATTTCGATCGGGATAGTTTTTTCCGAGACAGTTTT